CACACACCACACACCACACACACAAAACCCAAACACATAAAACCCCCAAAGTAAGCTTCTAGAGAAGAGCCGTTGTTTGGCATTCTCCCCGGGCTGGATCCTGCAGTTCTGGAGACGGAACCCAGGACCCCGCACAGGCCAGGGAAGCTCCTCCCACAGAGGCACCCCAGGGCCACCTTCTACACTTAAAAACCAGCTTTGTCAGATGCAGTTCGCATCCCACAATGCTCACCCACCTGAGTGCACCATCTCGTGGTCTCAGGGCGGTCAGAGTGGCATGACGCCACCCTGCCCTGGGTTCCCATCCCTCCCGCCACGGTCTTTCTCCCGTCTCTGGATTGGCTCTCTGGACGGTTCAGTGTATGAAATCGTGCAACAGGTAGTCTTTGTGACTTTCTTCTTTGGCTTAACCCAAAGTTTTCACGGTTCACCCTGCAGTACCGTGGCTCAGGACTTCATGTCTTTTTATTGCTGATGACATTCAGGTGTGTGAGTGGACCACATTTTGGGTATCCCTTCATCAGGTGATGGACACTTGGGTTATTTTGCATAACGCCGCTGGTCAGGTACACATTCTTCTTTCTTTTTTCATGAGATCCATTTTTTTTTCCTCTAGTTTCCACATATGAGAGAAATCACACAACCCTTGTCTTTCTCAATCTGCTTATTTGCTTAATATGATGTTCTCCAGTTTCATCCATTCTCTTGCAAATGACCTAATTTCCTTCTTTATGGCTGAGTGAAACTCCGTCATGTCTATACACCACATTTTCTGTATCCGTTCATCTGTGGGCGGACACCTAGGCTGGCTCCATAACTTGGCTATTGTGAGTTGTGCTTTAGAGACATGGGGATGCAGGTACCTCTAAAGTACACTGGCTTTAAGTCTTTTGGTTATATATCAGGAGTGGTATAGCTGGATCCAGTTTTAGGGTTGTGAGGAGCCTCCATGCTGATCTCTAGGGTGATTGTGTTAATTTACATTTCCTCCAACATTGTGTAGGGTCCCTTTCCCCAGATCCTCACCAGCAATTGTTACTGTCATTCTTAATGATGACATTCTGACTGGATGGAGGTGGACTCTTCGTGTAGCTTTGATTTGCATCTCCCTGATGGCTAAGGATGTTGAACATTTGTTTTTATAGAATTGTCCTTTTCAGAAGTCTGTTTAACTCATTTGCCCATTTATTTAATGGGTTATTTATTTGTTAATTTTGGTGTTGAGTTTTTTGAGTTCCTTATATATCCTATTATTTATTTATTTTGGTACTGGAGCTTGAATCCAAAAGTACCTTACCACCGAGCCACATCCTCAGCCCTTTTTATTTTTAATTGAGCCAGGGTTTCACTAAATTGCTTAGGACCTTGCTTAGTTGCTGAGGCTGGTCTTGAACTTGTGATCCTCCTGTCTCAGCCTCCCAAGTCACTGGGATTATAGGCATGTACCACTGTGCCCAGCTTTATTATTATCATTTTTTAATGACACTGAGAATTGAACCCAGATCTTGCACATGTTAGGTAAGTGCTATACCACTGAGCTATGTTCCAGTGAGGTTTTTAGGACCTTGCTTAGTTGCTGAGGCTGGTCTTGAACTTGTGATCCTCCTGTCTCAGCCTCCCAAGTCACAGGGATTATAGGCATTTGCCACTGTGTCCAGCTTTATTATTATCATTTTTTAATGACACTGAGAATTGAACCCAGGTCTTGCACATGTTAGGTAAGTGCTATACCACTGAGCTATGTTCCAGTGAGGTTTTTTTTTT